ATATATATATATATATATATATATATATATATATATATATATATATATATATATATATATATATATATATATATATATATATATATATATATATATATATATATCACATGCTGGTCTATCTTCTGGTGTCGCCTTTGATAGAGATGATAATGTCATCGGTGTTGACTTTTCGCTAAGAGTATTTTGGTGCGGTGCTGTTATTTTTAGGTGTCTGAAGACGATCTATCGTTTGCAAACTATACCTCGCTTCCGCGACGATACACTCGTGGGCAAACAGAAATCATAGCCGAAACATCGTGTGCACAACCATTCCATAGACAAATAGTTAAATTTTTATGAAGAAGTTAATCTTGATATATCCGACACTTGCTCTGCTAAAAATCAAAGACTATACAAATAATCAACACTCATGACTAACCATCGTGGCAAAGCTTGTTACGGCACTGTGTTCGTGTGTAACATGATTATACGAAGCTTCTGGTAACTATGGGCTCTGAGATACGGTAGACACGGAAAACGCAAAACAAAAATCCAATACAAATAAAGTGTAAAGGTTCGGTACAAAAGCCTTTTGGCTTTTCGCGGGCTGTGAGATTTTTTTTCTCAAAATTGCACATGAGTGATGAGCGGGCGCCGGGCGAGCGGCTCGTAGTCACAGGATCGTTGCTCGATTATACAAATTTTAAAAAATTAAACCCAAAAAATTAACTGTCCTAAATATTGAATATTCCCGTGTGAATACATATATTTATATGTATTTATATATGAATACGAATGCGTCTATAAAACAGTGTTGTGTAGGTGTATGTCCTGACATAACATATAGGTCTATTAAGTACAGCTCATAGGCAGAATACATACAAGGCTTTGCGGAACTGCCCTTCAACGTCGGGCTTTATCACATTCTTCTATAGTAGAGTATCATATTATTAATCAGCATGTCGTTGCAAACTAAGGGCGACCCTACTAAACAGCACTGGGAAGATTCAGATTTCCCTATTCTGTGCCAAACATGTTTGGGAGATAACCCATATATGCGCATGACTAAAGAGAAACACGGCAAAGAGTGTAAAATATGCACGAGACCCTTCACTGTGTTTAGATGGTGTCCTGGGCGTGGCATGCGATTCAAGAAGACCGAAGTGTGCCAGACGTGTGCGAAGGTTAAGAACGTTTGTCAAACGTGTATATTCGATCTGCAATATGGCCTGCCTGTGCAAGTTAGAGATCAAGCCTTGGGGATTGTCGATAATGTACCGAAGTCAGCGGTCAATAAGGAATACTACGCACAGAACATGGAAGCACAGGTATGTATGCATGTCCGAAACAGTCAAAACCGGCTCCAAATATTACTTTTTGCTTGTATGAGGTTTAAAATCCTCCGATCTGTGTTCACGTCACCACAAAGTATCGTTTACGAAGACATATACACATACATCCGCGCAAATATATATATATATATATGTATATATATATATATATATATATATACGACATACACACACTATTATATATATACACACACATATATATATTATATATATATTATATATAT